AGAAAAACACCATACCTCCAGGGCCTCTCCCAGCTCCAGCTCATAGATGATAAAGGAAATAAGGGTACCACCGCTCATCTGATTTGTCACCACTAGGTGGCCTCCATAAAACAGGATTGCTACTTGCAAGGCCAACTCAGAGACCTATAGATAAAAATGTTACAAAAAAAGGAAGGAAGAGAGAGAGAACAAAAATTAGTATCATTGCTCAGACTGACACCGCTGATTTTTATTTTTTTGGATCTATAAGACGTCCCAGAATGCCCCAAAAGAGAAATGTAATTATGATACTTGGGAGTACAAATATTAAAGGCTTCATAAAGCTTTCAAGATACCTACATAGCTGGACCACATGAAGCAGGCATAGGCAACTGCTTGCTTCTTATTAAGAATGAACATCTCCTGAAGTCTGCTGTAGTATGAGTCTTCTTCCTGATCCTCATTAGCGAAACTTCGCACTGTTCTCATGGCTGATATTGTTTCCTCTGCCACTTTATTGGCCTGAGCCAGTGCTGTCTGAACTTCTTTGGTTAATTTCTGTTAAACATCAAAAATGTGGAATGTTAATATATTTGTATGCATACATCTTTTGTATCAGTGCATTAAAATGCTATTATAATGTGAAATATAAAACAATTTAGATTATATGCTGCTATAAACTACAATGCACCACTTGCTATTGTTTTTTTGGAATGTTAATTTTTTTTATGCATACATATTTTGTATCAATGCATTCAAAATGCTATTATAATGTGCATTTGTGAAATATAAAACAATATAGAGTATATGCTGCTATAAACTACAATGCATCATTTGCCATTGTTTTTTTTTTTTTTCAAGCAGTGTATTTTCATATGCATAACTTGCCTTGTAATACTCTCCATACAGCTTGGAGACCACAGCTATATATGGGAAACCCATGATGGTGACTACCGACAGTTTCCATGACATCCCAAACATGAATATGAAGATGCCCACAGCTTTCACAAAGCTGCGCAGGAACAGGTTGACATTTTGTGAGATGAGGTCGCTCACCTGAGTAGTGTCTGAGGTAAGTCTAGAGGTAATGTCACCTGGAAGGCAAACCATTGAGAGCTGAATCATTTATGTCTTCTGTACTTCCAGAGAAGTCTTTGAAACAGTAATGTTAAAAACAAAACTTAAAAAAACTGGCAAAAATAAAATTAGATTGTAAATCTAATGATGAAACTATCTACAAAACAAAATGGGTGGAGTCTGTTTGAAGAATATCTAGAAAGTGCTGTGTTGCCTTTCTTTTGTCGTTTATTGGTAAATTATAGGCCTACATATATATTTACAGATATAAGGAACAAAATAACTACGTTTGATTAAGGCTATAATTGCAGCCATAACATTACCTGTATGGTTGGCATCAAAGAACCCAATCTCCTGATGCATTAGTGATCTAAAGAGAAGGTTCCGAAGTCGAATGTTTAACCTGGCAAACGTAACGGAAAAGACACCTCCACGAAACCCAGTGCCTATGGAGCTACAAAATAAATAAATTAAAAAAAATAAAATAGTGATAAATAGCACTACTGTCTATAAAAAATATTAATTGAACTGCTCACCTGACCAAAGCCAAAACAGTGAGATTAATCAATTGTTTGGCAAAATGATCCATGCTTTTCTGGATAACTATGCCATCTATCGCTTGCCCCGTGTAATAAGGTATAAAAGCATCACCTATGGGGAGGAAAATTAAAGCTGATAAACACTAGAGATGAGAACAATATGTCAAACAATATAATGTGCATCCAAGTATGACAAAATCAAGCCATTCACAAGCATGTAATAACTAGAGTAAAGATTAGCACAATCATAACACTGCAACGATGTGCAATCTAACTGCACTCAGACCGTTAGGTTTGGAAATCCACAACTGCTGTAGTGAATATGATTAAAATGTATATAAAATGTGTGTATAAAATCATACACACTACTGTTCAAAAGTTTGGTTGATATAATAATACATAAAAACATTGATATAATAATAAAAATGTTCATAAGCATCAAATCGGCATATTAGAATGATTTCTGAAAGATCATGTGACACTGAAGACTGGAGTAATGAATGCTAAAAAAAAATCAGCTTTGCCATCACAGGAATAAATTATATTTTAAAGTATTTTAAAATAGAAATCATTATTTTAAATTGTAATCATACTTAACAATATTACTGTTTTACTTTATTTTTGATCAAATAAATGCAGCCTTGACATTGGCATAAGATACTTTATGTAAAAAAAAAAGACAGTGAGAGGTTGTGTTTTGATAACTAAAAGAAAAATTCCAGTTCCAGTCCAAACTCTCAAAAGCTAGATTGACATTATACGTTAAATACATTTCATAACACTTTACAATAAGGTCTTATGCAGTAAAAATATTTAATGCATCATGTATCACGATTCATGTTGCTGTAAGTGTTCATTGTTAGTCCATTAAAAGCATTGTTGGTTCATGTTAAATATTGTGTTAACTGATGCTAATGTATACAACCTTACTGTACATTTACTATACATTCCATGAGATTGTTTATTAAGAATGACTGCTAGGCCAACATTAGCATTACTTACTGTCACAAATGATAGATAAATAAAAGATTAACATAAAATATCACTTGAATTATGATGTTTACTTAATTTATTACATTTCTTCGAATATTTAAGCCATAACTATGAGAGTGAACTTACACACAGCAGAGAGGAGAAGAAAGAAGAAAGCAATGGCCAGCAAACCAGAGTCCTTCTTACAGTACGACAAGAGACGGCCAATTGTGGCCCCTGAATGGGGATGCTCTTTCCTTGATTTCCTGCTCTTCTTACTGGACTCATCTTCTGTCTCGATGCCATCCACCAGCCTCTCCGTCTCCTCGCTATCCTCTCTTTCAGATACAGCATTGGGAGTCTGTGACAGCAGCTTCCATGAGATCATGATGCCTATTGCTGATGTGCAAGTCCAGGAGAACAAATTTAGGAACCAGGGGTCATACATCAGAGCTCCCTCCTCAGAAAGCATCAACAACTTGGCAAGAGCATAAGTCATGTTGGTAAGGCATATGAGAGAAACCAGTGTCCCCATGTTTGAAACCCTTCGTGGACCATCACTCCTGTTATAGAACACCCCGATGGAGGCCCCGAAAAGAAGACTGGCCCGTATGAGAACTGTTCCCCACAAGTCCACTGTTGAGCGGTGTATGTCAAATTCCTCTAATTCATCTGAAAATATATCAAGACTTGATCCATGAACATACAAGACTGTGGTGACCACAACATCCACTAGAGTGAAAACCAGGTTTCCACTAATAATCACAGCAACTTTCATTTTCCTACACCTGCTGAGGAGCCTTGAAGCTGCTGAAATACAAATGCTCTCGGTAAACATGAGCAGCAAAACATCTATATGGAAGTGAATTCTATATGGCGAGTAAACATTAGTAATGACACGACAGCGTGAAACCAGACTGACAGGTCTGGAATAGTAATAAAAGGTGCGCGAGTGAAACAAAGTCTATGTCAATGTGCCGCGGCCTGCGCAGCTTGACACCCGGCACTATCACAGACTCATTCATTGGGGCAGTACAGAATACATGAAAACCCCAATATTTTCCGTCGAAAAATCAGCACTTTATTCCCTTCGTAAATCAGCATTCCCGGTACAATAACAAAACTCATCTTAGTCCCATAATTTGCAGGCAACATCCATCGCCTCTCCTTACCGGCGCGGAGCAATGACAGGAAGGGGGAAAAGAATAGAGAAGGGTATAACTGCAGCCTGGAGATCGAGAAATACTGTACTGAAGCCCCGCCTCCGTGACAACCGGCCAATCAGAAAGGGCTCTGGTCACATTAGCGATATACACAAGTAGGCTATTTACATATTTTGAAGGAAAGTTCGTGAGGACAATTTATTTCAACAACATAGGCAAAAATTTAAAATGGATATAATTGGTTGTACTTGCGTTACAGATGTATAAAGTGAAAACCTAACTTATAAAATAAAAGGCCACTTTTAAAAGTGTTCTTCAAAAGTAGTTACACTTCCATAACTATTTTTCGCAACACACTAAAATACACTTAAGTGCACCGATGTCATGCTTTAAGATGTACACTTATTTTGATGCGTTGGCAAAGTAAAAAAAATGTTAACACCTATATTTTAGTTTACTATAAATGCTTATCACAGTTGGCAGAACACTTGTAAAATGAAATAATATATAAATATGTACTCAAGTCATAATTAAGTGGATCAAAAAACCGCTCAAATTCAACTAATTCACATAAATTTGCACTATAAAATTTTTTTATTTTAATTGTAAATAACATGCATTTAAGTGTCTGAAAAAATTACATCCAGCTTGCATTTAAGTATGTTCTTTTTAAGCCTCTTATTTAAATAACAAGTCCTTGAAGTATACTAAAGTCGACCTCTTTTACACAAGGTTATAATTTTACTCTTAAATTATTTATATGAATTATAAAATATTATTTTAAACGTGAACATGGCATTTCAACACTAAACGGTTTATTTCAGACATGTGGCAGGCTGTCCAAATGATGTCACAAGTAACAAGGTGAGCACAACCTTATTGCTGCAATCTGTGGTCACATTCTTGCACCTTCTGTCAACCCTCGTTATTTCAGAGGCAAACAGGAAGTTACACGAGATGTGTCACATTGGCCACAGAGTAACTGATTTTAACTGATTAACAAATCCATTTATTACAAATGAAAAGAGTCATTTATCATAATTTAAAACATAATGGAGCAAAAAGTATTTATGAGATACAGTCTGAAACTTTATACCTATTTAATGACATATAGAACCTTAAAGTTTCCTTTCCACGCACATGGATGAATAGGTGATTAAGTAAACAATTAAGCACTTTTTAAAAATGCCGTTTGCAAATTTGGACTTATCAAAGACAAAAATAGACACATATAATAATGATCTGAAAAAAAAAAATCAGTTAGAAAAAAAAAAACGAACATCTAATTTCTATGATAATGAACGCTGAATATTACAATCTTCATAATTAATATTTACACAACATTCTTTCAGATAATACTGAAATCTGTGTTCGTCAGATGACTAATCTAAAGCAAATCCAGATAAAAATGTCTTTTGGGACATGAGTCAACCAAGCAAACCAAACTTCTACATCTTTGGGTGTGTAGTTCAGTGACTAAACAAAAAACTAAGACCATCATCAGTGTCAATGAACGCCTGAGGTAAAATACAATCTTTTAATCTTGCTACATTATGTGCTGAAACAAAGTGAGCATGAGTTCATCTGCTTGACCTGCTCTCTGTGGACCACTTACTGCAGATATCAAGTCTTCAAGCTGTAGCCTATGCAAATACACTTTGCAGATAGTGCTTTATGAATAGTCAAATCAAAAAAGATTTTCAGTGCACATCTGTTAGAGGATATTCCAAGCCATTTTTCTTGGCTTCAGGTACATTCTGGATTGTGGTCAGGACTGTCTCTACTGGAAAAGACAGGTAGAGGCTTTCCTTGAGCTTTTTTGCTGAGGGCGTTTCCTCTGTGCTTAACAATGGGTCGGTCACAGTGAGAGTTATGGAAGGCATATTTCTAATCTTGCGTTTTGCATTTTTCTTTTCTTGTTTGTATGCGACATTCATATTTGTTACTACCTGTATAGGCAAAAGGAGAATGGTGTGAAATTACAATTTCAAAGCACTAAAATCAGTGTTTCTAAGCTTGTCTGCACTAAAATCTGTGTTTTTAGACATGCTTTTTGAATAAATGCTAGTTGTTAGACATGTACCATGATGCAATAATTTAACTGATCAATTAGTAAATAATTTTTAACTAAAAGATTTGAACTAAACAAACAAATGCTCAGACTTTACCATCTGTTTGATGTTATTCTGTTGCTCCTGCAAGGAGGACAGAAAAGTGTTTGTGTCCTCTTCATTAAGGGCCTCGTCCTCCTGGTCCTGATAGCAACCAAGAGGATCAAACTGTGTTTTTAAAAAAAAGAAGAAAAAAAAAGAAATGGATTTTTAATAGCAATTCAGTCAGTGTATCTTCTTTTTACTTTCTGTGTGCTGTGGGTGGGTTCGGCTGACGGTGGTCTGCATGTATATGACCTCCACTCGCTCCTCTTTGTCAGGATGATGGGCGCAATATGCGACATATCTCACATAAAAATATGAATACCAAATATTATATCTAACCTTTTTCTTATTTATTGTGAAAATTATTGTGCAAAATAAACTTAGTGGGGGAAAAATGAACTGACAGTTCTCAAACACAAAGAGCTGACATTGACAGAGACAGAAACTTTTACTATGTTACTATAACACACACTAAATTACAGCACAGCTAAATATGACATTTATTATAATGGGTTTAGGCGAGGATTGTGAAGCTGATTTTAATTAAAAGTTATAATATTATTTCATGTTCTGTAACAGTTTAGGCCTACTGAATGTTAAAAAATAATGGCACAAATTTTACTGTAATGTTGAATGGCTGTATTTACTAATTTTATTCCCAGAGACAGCAGTATCAGTATTTGTATTAATGATACTTGCCTTCATTCATGTATTGCCTTCATTCAAATATACCATCTTCATTTAAAGTAGCGCTCACCTTAGAGCCAAATGATGTAATGTGTGGAGTTATGTTTAGCAATAGGGTAGTAAGGTTAGGGTGGGGTTGGAGTGTCTACCTCCAACCATTATGTCTAAGCTGGACATCGAACTCCACCTATTGGCTCTCCTTTGTTTTGTTTCCACATTAATTTAAAGATACAGTGTGAAAATATATTTATGATTACAAATTCTAACATTAGGTGCGATTAATCATGATTAACTACAGAAAAATCACACTACTTATTACATAAAATCATTCATTCATGTCACAAAACTATCATATCCTATTAGTTAATTCTCTTACCTCACAAGATAGGCTGGCTTTTCTGTTGAATATTAAAAAGTGTGGTGTAAATTTTGTCGTAGGGTTGACCGATGTCCTAAAGGTGGCCAAAACTGGATCGAGAAAATCATCCCACTCCACCTGTTTCTCCACCACCATCTGTTTTATGGCATCTCTCAGGAGATTACTGCTGCGATCATACAGTGCATTCCGCTGCGGCTGGTCTACTGACAACACTCTTTGCGCAAGAACCCAATCTCCTGATGCATTAGTGATCTAAAGAGAAGGTTCCGAAGTCGAATGTTTAACCTGGCAAAAGTAACGGAAAAGACACCTCCACGAAACCCAGTGCCTATGGAGCTACAAAATAAATAAATAAAAAAAAATAAAATAGTGATAAATAGCACTACTGTCTATAAAAAATATTAATTGAACTGCTCACCTGACCAAAGCCAAAACAGTGAGATTAATCAATTGTTTGGCAAAATGATCCATGCTTTTCTGGATAACTATGCCATCTATCGCTTGCCCCGTGTAATAAGGTATAAAAGCATCACCTATGGGGAGGAAAATTAAAGCTGATAAACACTAGAGATGAGAACAATATGTCAAACAATATAATGTGCATCCAAGTATGACAAAATCAAGCCATTCACAAGCATGTAATAACTAGAGTAAAGATTAGCACAATCATAACACTGCAACGATGTGCAATCTAACTGCACTCAGACCGTTAGGTTTGGAAATCCAGAACTGCTGTAGTGAATATGATTAAAATGTATATAAAATGTGTGTATAAAATCATACACACTACTGTTCAAAAGTTTGGTTGATATAATAATACATAAAAACATTGATATAATAATAAAAATGTTCATAAGCATCAAATCGGCATATTAGAATGATTTCTGAAGGATCATGTGACACTGAAGACTGGAGTAATGAATGCTAAAAAAAAATCAGCTTTGCCATCACAGGAATAAATTATATTTTAAAGTATTTTAAAATAGAAATCATTATTTTAAATTGTAATCATACTTAACAATATTACTGTTTTACTTTATTTTTGATCAAATAAATGCAGCCTTGACATTGGCATAAGATACTTTATGTAAAAAAAAAAGACAGTGAGAGGTTGTGTTTTGATAACTAAAAGAAAAATTCCAGTTCCAGTCCAAACTCTCAAAAGCTAGATTGACATTATACGTTAAATACATTTCATAACACTTTACAATAAGGTCTTATGCAGTAAAAATATTTAATGCATCATGTATCACGATTCATGTTGCTGTAAGTGTTCATTGTTAGTCCATTAAAAGCATTGTTGGTTCATGTTAAATATTGTGTTAACTGATGCTAATGTATACAACCTTACTGTACATTTACTATACATTCCATGAGATTGTTTATTAAGAATGACTGCTAGGCCAACATTAGCATTACTTACTGTCACAAATGATAGATAAATAAAAGATTAACATAAAATATCACTTGAATTATGATGTTTACTTAATTTATTACATTTCTTCGAATATTTAAGCCATAACTATGAGAGTGAACTTACACACAGCAGAGAGGAGAAGAAAGAAGAAAGCAATGGCCAGCAAACCAGAGTCCTTCTTACAGTACGACAAGAGACGGCCAATTGTGGCCCCTGAATGGGGATGCTCTTTCCTTGATTTCCTGCTCTTCTTACTGGACTCATCTTCTGTCTCGATGCCATCCACCAGCCTCTCCGTCTCCTCGCTATCCTCTCTTTCAGATACAGCATTGGGAGTCTGTGACAGCAGCTTCCATGAGATCATGATGCCTATTGCTGATGTGCAAGTCCAGGAGAACAAATTTAGGAACCAGGGGTCATACATCAGAGCTCCCTCCTCAGAAAGCATCAACAACTTGGCAAGAGCATAAGTCATGTTGGTAAGGCATATGAGAGAAACCAGTGTCCCCATGTTTGAAACCCTTCGTGGACCATCACTCCTGTTATAGAACACCCCGATGGAGGCCCCGAAAAGAAGACTGGCCCGTATGAGAACTGTTCCCCACAAGTCCACTGTTGAGCGGTGTATGTCAAATTCCTCTAATTCATCTGAAAATATATCAAGACTTGATCCATGAACATACAAGACTGTGGTGACCACAACATCCACTAGAGTGAAAACCAGGTTTCCACTAATAATCACAGCAACTTTCATTTTCCTACACCTGCTGAGGAGCCTTGAAGCTGCTGAAATACAAATGCTCTCGGTAAACATGAGCAGCAAAACATCTATATGGAAGTGAATTCTATATGGCGAGTAAACATTAGTAATGACACGACAGCGTGAAACCAGACTGACAGGTCTGGAATAGTAATAAAAGGTGCGCGAGTGAAACAAAGTCTATGTCAATGTGCCGCGGCCTGCGCAGCTTGACACCCGGCACTATCACAGACTCATTCATTGGGGCAGTACAGAATACATGAAAACCCCAATATTTTCCGTCGAAAAATCAGCACTTTATTCCCTTCGTAAATCAGCATTCCCGGTACAATAACAAAACTCATCTTAGTCCCATAATTTGCAGGCAACATCCATCGCCTCTCCTTACCGGCGCGGAGCAATGACAGGAAGGGGGAAAAGAATAGAGAAGGGTATAACTGCAGCCTGGAGATCGAGAAATACTGTACTGAAGCCCCGCCTCCGTGACAACCGGCCAATCAGAAAGGGCTCTGGTCACATTAGCGATATACACAAGTAGGCTATTTACATATTTTGAAGGAAAGTTCGTGAGGACAATTTATTTCAACAACATAGGCAAAAATTTAAAATGGATATAATTGGTTGTACTTGCGTTACAGATGTATAAAGTGAAAACCTAACTTATAAAATAAAAGGCCACTTTTAAAAGTGTTCTTCAAAAGTAGTTACACTTCCATAACTATTTTTCGCAACACACTAAAATACACTTAAGTGCACCGATGTCATGCTTTAAGATGTACACTTATTTTGATGCGTTGGCAAAGTAAAAAAAATGTTAACACCTATATTTTAGTTTACTATAAATGCTTATCACAGTTGGCAGAACACTTGTAAAATGAAATAATATATAAATATGTACTCAAGTCATAATTAAGTGGATCAAAAAACCGCTCAAATTCAACTAATTCACATAAATTTGCACTATAAAATTTTTTTATTTTAATTGTAAATAACATGCATTTAAGTGTCTGAAAAAATTACATCCAGCTTGCATTTAAGTATGTTCTTTTTAAGCCTCTTATTTAAATAACAAGTCCTTGAAGTATACTAAAGTCGACCTCTTTTACACAAGGTTATAATTTTACTCTTAAATTATTTATATGAATTATAAAATATTATTTTAAACGTGAACATGGCATTTCAACACTAAACGGTTTATTTCAGACATGTGGCAGGCTGTCCAAATGATGTCACAAGTAACAAGGTGAGCACAACCTTATTGCTGCAATCTGTGGTCACATTCTTGCACCTTCTGTCAACCCTCGTTATTTCAGAGGCAAACAGGAAGTTACACGAGATGTGTCACATTGGCCACAGAGTAACTGATTTTAACTGATTAACAAATCCATTTATTACAAATGAAAAGAGTCATTTATCATAATTTAAAACATAATGGAGCAAAAAGTATTTATGAGATAAAGTCTGAAACTTTATACCTATTTAACGACATATAGAACCTTAAAGTTTCCTTTCCACGCACATGGATGAATAGGTGATTAAGTAAACAATTAAGCACTTTTTAAAAATGCCGTTTGCAAATTTGGACTTATCAAAGACAAAAATAGACACATATAATAATGATCTGAAAAAAAAAAATCAGTTAGAAAAAAAAAAACGAACATCTAATTTCTATGATAATGAACGCTGAATATTACAATCTTCATAATTAATATTTACACAACATTCTTTCAGATAATACTGAAATCTGTGTTCGTCAGATGACTAATCTAAAGCAAATCCAGATAAAAATGTCTTTTGGGACATGAGTCAACCAAGCAAACCAAACTTCTACATCTTTGGGTGTGTAGTTCAGTGACTAAACAAAAAACTAAGACCATCATCAGTGTCAATGAACGCCTGAGGTAAAATACAATCTTTTAATCTTGCTACATTATGTGCTGAAACAAAGTGAGCATGAGTTCATCTGCTTGACCTGCTCTCTGTGGACCACTTACTGCAGATATCAAGTCTTCAAGCTGTAGCCTATGCAAATACACTTTGCGGATAGTGCTTTATGATTAGTCAAATCAAAAAAAAGATTTTCAGTGCACATCAGAGTCTGTTAGAGGATATTCTAAGCCATTCTTCTTGGCTTCGGGTACATTCTGGACTGTGGTTAGGACTGTCTCTACTGGGAAACACAGGTAGAGGCTTTCCTTAAGTTTTTTTGCTGAGGGCGTTTCCTCTGTGAACAATGGGTCCGTCACAGTGAGAGTGATGGAAGGCATATTTCTAGCTTTGCGTTTTGCATTTTTCTTTTCTTGTTTGTATGCGACATTCATATTTGTTACTACCTGTATAGGCAAAAGGAGAATGGTGTGAAATTACAATTTCAAAGCACTAAAATCAGTGTTTCTAAGCTTGTCTGCACTAAAATCTGTGTTTTTAGACATGCTTTTTGAATAAATGCTAGTTATTAAACGTACAATAGAACGCTCCAGTCCGTTCTATTGTACCGTTCCAGTCCTCGCGTACCAACGCTCTGCATATTTTGCATGTCTCTCTTATTTAACACACCTGATTCAGATCATCAGTTCATTAGAAGAGAGCTCCATGCATAAACTTTGTTCCGATTGACATGGTCCCTACACAGTGTTCTTTGCTCCCTACTCCCTGAGCATGGGAAATCAATTGAAGTTTACTTCACTTCGGAAAATTCATACATACAGACGAAGCGTACTAGAGAAGTGTGACATAATATGCCTCTGTAAATAAATACAATTTAAATTCACATCTTGCACACTTTAATGCCCTTTGAATGGAACATATACGTTCCCTTCGAACTGGAATCATGGCGGAATATCCTGTGATGTCCACTTCGCAGGGCACTTAAGGTCAGATAGAAGAAACATCTTAAGTGATAAGAGATACATACAAAATGTGCAGAGTGGTGGTACGCAAGGACTGGAATTGAGAACCGTACTGTATTAGTAAATAACAGGACTAAGAAAATTTTAACAAAAACAAATGCCCAGACTTTACCATCTGTTTGATGTTATTCTGTTGCTCGTGCATGGAGGAAAGAAAAGCATTTGTGTCCTCTTCATTAACGGTCTCATCCTCCTGGTCTTGATAGCAACTAAGAGGATCAAACTGTTTTAAAAAATAAGAAAGAAAAAGAAGAAATTGATTATTAATAGCAATTCAGTCAGTGTAACTTCTTGCTTATTACCATCTGTGTGCCGCGCACCAGCTCTGAAGCGAGAGAGAGAGAGTGGGTTCGACCAAGGATGGTCTGCATATACAGGTGCATCTCAATAAATTTTTCCACGACATTCTAATTTATTGAGATGCACCTGTAGACCTATCCTATAATCACCTCCTCTCGCTCCTCTTTGTGAGGACGATGTGTGTGACACACAGGACACTTGTGTGTTTCAAGCTTTGTCTGGCAACCTGTTTTTCATCCTGTCAGTGATGTGCTTGTGATAGATAAAGACATGCAGGTCTAAGTGTGGAAATAAGTGTAAACACTTGTGATACTGACGTTGTATCAAGAGGATTGATTCTCACATAAAAATATTAATACCAAATTTTTTAACTATTCATTTTCTTATTAACTGTGAAAATGAATGCTCAAAATAAACTTAGTGGGGGTAAAATTAGATTGACAGCTCTCATTAAAACAAAGGGAGCTAACACTGACAGAGACAGAAACATGCACTATGTTTCTATATACAACACACTAAATTAAAGGCACAGCTAAATGTGGCATTTATTATAATAAGTTTATGTGAAGATTGTTTTAAGTTGACTTTAATTAAAAGTTATAATTTTTTGTAATGTTCTGTAACAGTTTAGGCTTATTGGATGTTAAAATAATGGCACAAATTTTACTGTAATGCTGAATGGCTGTATTTACTCAATTTCTTCCCAGAAATTGAACCCATTTAACAGAGATATCAGTATCAGTTTTGGAATCGTTGATACTTGCCTTCATTCATAGTGCTTACTAGAAAGTATATGCCAAGATGCCAATAAACAAATTTAAAATATACCGTCTTTATTTTGTTTCTACATTAAGTGTGAAAATATATTTATGATTAAATTCTAATGTTAGGTGCGATTATTTACAGAAAAATTAGTGATTAATTAGTTTTTTTATGTACTACTTTTTCAATAAAGCACACTACTTCTTACATTAAATCATTCATTCATATCACAAAATTATCATATCTTAAAGGTGACATATCATGAAAATCTGACTTTTCCAGGTTTGAAGTGCTATAATCAGGTCCCTGGTGCATCTACCAACCAAGGAAACGTGAAAAAGATTAAACCAGGAACTTTGTTTTGGTACGCCTTTTCTGCAAGCGTCTGAAAAAACGAGCGCGTCAGATTTCGCTCCCTTGGTGACGTGGCAAAGGGATCTCATTATAATATTACCGCCCCCTTAATCTGTAAGTTTCCACTCTTGGCGCCGTCATTTGATTTCGCAAGCGACAACGGTGTACCAGTCCAGTTCTAATGCTAATGTTCTGCCTTTGGCTGCACAGATGAGCACAGAACACTATTTAGAGTCCCAGCCTCAGAGGAGACAAGAGAGCAGTGGATTTATTGATTTATTTACTGTATATTGCTGCTGCCACACAGATCTAAAATAAACATGCGATTTATTTCCCAGCTGTTTACCTTCACAGACATAACCGACTGGTTTTGTAACAGCTACTGTTTTTAACGAAACTTCACAGACACATTCTGGGGACACCAGAGACTTATATTACTTATTGTAAAAAGGGGCATAATATGTCTCCTTTAAAAGTTCATTTTCTTACCTCACTAGATATGCTGGCGTTTCTGTTAAACATTAAAAAGTGTGGTGTAAATTTTGTTGTAGGGTTGACTGATGTCCTGAAGGTGGCCAAAACTGAATCGAGAAAATCATCCCATTCCACCCGTTTCTCCACTACCATCTGTTTTATGGCATCTCTGAGCAGATTACTGCTGCGATCATATGGTGCGTTCCGCTGCGGCTGGTCTACCGACAACACTCTTTGCGCTATGTTCCACCGGTCACACAGGTGCTTTGTAACCTATAATAATCAATAATAATGCTGTTAAAATACAGTTGAACACCAGTTTTGCATAAAAGGTTGGTATTTTGACAAACTGTTTTACCTCCTCACAGAAGTCAGCACTTTGAGAGCAAAATATTGTCTTTGCAGGGCCAAATCTGGAGGGGGGAAAAAAATGCATTTTAGCAATAATCAGCATATTTATTCTTCATTAATGGTGCAATATTATCTCACCTGCAAACAGACGATGAAATGCATCGTGCAACACAGAGACCATCTTTCTTTTGTACAGGAAAGGCCTCTACCCATTTACTGTAGTAATCTGTAATAATAACAATGTGTGTGTTCCCTCCATGTACAGTGCCTGGGAATGGACCTGTTTGTGAAGACATTTGGTTACAATATTTGGGCAAATGTGTGACAGATTAGACTGCTTAAAAGTCCCATACAAAATTTTACCAATTATTTCAACTGCCAAAATGTCCCAAGGACCGTCCACTTTGATGGGTCGTACCGTTCTAGCCAGGTTTTTATTCCGCTCTGCGTGTTGACACGTTTCGCACACTTTAATCTGAAACAGATGATACAGTGACTTGTAGATGACGGCATGAATGACTAACATGACAATACCAAACACCTCCATTCCTAAAAGGGTGAGATTGATGACATCCACTGCATACCCAATCCACAACATCCTTGACAATGCCAAGCCAGTAGTATTTACTCTGAATCCTGTGAACAGTCTTCTTCTGTCCCAGGTGATGCCCAATGTCATTGAAGTGACACTCCAGGAATATCTGTCTCTTCCGCTCTGCCTCAATCACTACCTCTCGCTTTTCTTCTTTCTTCGAGCCCACATAATACAACCGGCCATCTATAGAATTTATCATAGAGAAAGGTAAGAGATAACAAAACAAAGCACTAATCAATAAACAAACAATTAAATAAACACATCTTACTGTTCAAATACAACACAGTTACTGTTCATTTGTAATGTTAAAAAATTACCTTACTACAAATACACACTAACAGTTTATTGTTCAGCCTGTCAAAGTTAACACAGTAACATGATAAATTAAAATAAAAAGCTTTCTGTCTTTAAACAATGTTTCCAGGAAATACTGCAAAACATTGAAAGAGAGATTACTGATATTATAACGATTCTGATGTAACATATGCAAGATTTGCTCTCACCGTCAATCATAAATTTCTGAGCATATCTTTTAAGGTTTTTCTTGCGAATAGTATTCATGGTTTGAGGATAACAGCCTTCGGCAACAAACGTGTATATGTCCCCCAGTCTGTTAGAGCAGGACTCCACCACCTCCTCCTCAGCAACTGGCAACGAGTCCACACTCAACATTCTGCTGCCAATATACGCTCCCAGGCTTTAAATACATAACAGATGGCACAGCTAAATAACCATCCAATTTTAAATTCAAAACTACAGGGGACAAGTAAAACGTGTTTCTGAACAACTCGAGTTTTGCCTTGAATTTGCGCGCTCACACACAATAACAGTCGGACGGAAGGAATTAAGTGACGTACCAGGATGTAAACATTACTTTTATCACTCGGTATTTATCGCTCTTTTGAGATAGGAACTCATGCAAGATATGTCTCAAATATTTATACTCATCTACACAGAAAAATGTAGCATCATTAAATCTGATTATTTTAATTATGTATTTATTTTAGCGAAGCAGTTTGTTTCTTTACGGACATATTTCTGGTTGTTCCAAAACATTCATTGAGTGGGCGGAGCTCTGAAGAGATTGACAGTTCTGGTCTAACCCACCGGGCCCGAGAGTTGTATAAATAGCTGTTAGACCTGTATAAATATATAGCAGTATGTAGTTAGAATTACAAAATCTGTATTAGTGAAATCTGAAAACACCATGGAGAGATTTTACACATGCAGTTGTTTTTTCAGAGATAATATTTTTCTTGAAGAATACAAACTTCACGTGCGTTTCGTCTCAGAGAACCAGTTCAGGAAGGACTATCAAAATGTAAGTTCTTTGGACAACAACAATGTCAAATGTCTTCATGTTAAATACTTAGCCATTGTGTCTGTACACCACTAACATTTGCTTAAGATCCTCAGATCCCTGGGTTGTGTGTCTGAATCTCAGTTCAGAGACGTGCTTGGAAAGGTGAGAGAGCAGAAATCACTCTTGTGATAACGATGGACATCAAGGCTGTAAAGAGGGTGGTTATTTACTCAGTCGTCTATTTATAGATTCATGCGGAAATCGAGAGACGCCAGCATTATGAATTGAAATCGGCAGCGAGAGCAGCTACCATCAAGGAGATTTATACACCTCTACATCAACATGTTTATTATTTGCAGGTACTTATATTCAGTAGTGCAGGTAGTCTATGATTCAGAATCGTTCACTGATATAATATCATCTATCCCATGCAAGGAGTCATTCCTGGCCCCAGAATTTTTACAGTTGGTAAATTACTGTACTTCTACTGATGCAACCATGGAAGGACTGATGAATCTCATTCAGACAGAGGCAGGTGAGCTGCTTCTTTTCTCAGTTTCCAAATTATGGAAATTATTATGGAAGAAAAATGATGCCAACAAATTGTATATTTTGCAGCACCAAGGGTCTTCCGATTCCCGGTGTTCCGAAAGGAATTCTGCAAGGACTTTATAGAAGAGCTGGAGCATTTTGAACAGTCTGACGCACCGAAGGGCCGGCCGAACACCATGAACAATTATGGAGTACACATTTTTATCATAAACACTTAATCCAGATTGTGTGATTGATATTGCCATCAAAAGGCAGACTAATATTGTTCGTTGTTTAATAATAATCTGACATCTCTCTCAACGAATACAGATTCTCCTCAATGAACTGGGCTTTGATGAGAGTTTCATCACCCCACTGAGGGATGTCTATCTGCATCCATTCACGGCTCTGCTCTACAGCGACTGTGGAGGAAGCTGTCTGGACAGTCACAAGGCTTTCGTGGTCAAGTATGCTATGCGTGAAGACTTGGACCTTAGCTATCATTATGACAACGCTGAAGTCACTCTCAATGTATCACTGGGGAAAGATTTCACGGAAGGGAACCTGTTCTTTGGAGACATGAGACAGGTGCTGTGAGTTATAGTTTATAATAAGAGCTTGAAAATTATGTGATGATTATAAGACAATTTTTGAGAATTCCCACACAGTTTTTGGCCTGTCAAACTTGAGATATTAATAACTCTTTATATCTCAATATTCAAGCTTCTACATCTAACTATATATATATATATACATACACACACACCTGGCCTGTCAAAATTAACAAGATAACGGTCTAATTATGCTCTAATATTGGGTAGAAAATTGCTTAATACAACATAATACAAACTGAATATTTTCTTTCTGAGTATTTTCTAGATTAAATATTTAAAATTTAGTATAATACATTTTAAATAGATTTTATAATAGATATAGTAATTTGCTATGGCTTTATGTGCATTAACAAGTGAAAAATTTAAGGGGGTCTGAATACTTTCCGTACCCACTGTATATATATATATATATATATATAGAAAAGGGGAGTTCTTACTTAAGGGGCCTTTGCATCAAGACGTTTGGAAAACCTGATTTAATGTATAATCTTCTGCTTAATGCATACAGTCAGTTGAATAAAATGAAATATTATCACATTCACCATTCAACCCCCCCTAAAAGCACAAGTGAACACTTTCTTCAAGAAGAGATTTTATTTCATGATTATACAACACTTTAGTTCACTTTACAAAGACATTGACTCTTTTGGATGAAACAGTGGGCAGCACAAGCATGCAGCCTAGTAATACATGTTAAAGGTGTATTTACAATGTCCTGATCATGTACGTTTGTTTTAGGTGCCTCTGAGTGAGACGGAGTGTGTGGAGGTGGAGCATCATGTAACTGAAGGTCTGCTTCACAGAGGCCAGCACATGCATGGAGCTCTACCCATCTCCTCAGGCACACGCTGGAACCTGATCATATGGATGCGAGCTTCACGTGAGAGGAACAAACTCTGCCCTATGTGTGGTAAGAGACCCACACTAGTGGAGAGTGACGGATTCAGTGATGGCTTCACCATGGACCCTGACGACACTAGTAGTACATTGTCATGTTCTTTAACATGATGTTGTTCAATGCATATGGGTGCTGTTCTAAAGATTTTTGTCTAATTTATTGTACTCTGTTTAGTGGGTCAGCAATCGGTAAAATGATTTTGGTGCCTTCTTCAAAATCAGTACTAAAGGTATAAGAGTTGATTTATGCTTATGGGTAATTTTGACTGTAAATGACCTGATTAAATATCCAAATGATTGTAAATGTAGTGGTTTTAAACCTGCTGTTGATGTTAGTCAATGTCTTATCTTAGGATGAACTGTTAATATATACAAGGAATTTGAGATGTACAATAAAATAAATAAACAGACAAACAAACAAAAATAAGAATAATAATTGGTGTACGGCTTATATGTACAAAAACATTAATTTCAGTAAATATTTTTAATCTGCCACCTCATTTCCTTTACCAAAATGCAAGTTGCCAGGAAACATAATTATTATTTTGTATAGAACCTTATAAAAAGTTTTTTTTTTTATTCCTACAGGGGTTAAATCTCATGTTGGCCAATATCCATCATTTGCAACCTTTCCATTTACACTTATTCATATAAAACATCCAACATACACTGAACACAAGTCACACAAACATTCTGAAAACTTCAGGCCAAAATCTGTTTTGTTTGCTATTTCAGAGCTTGTTCTTTGGTTGTTTCTTTTCCCCAACTTAGATTTTTGAGTGTTATAAGCAGGACAACAAAGGGAAAGGAAGGAAAAGCATGACTGTTCGGATAAAGGGAACACTACTAGACCCAGAGGTAGCGGTTACAGAGGGGAAAAAAAATCATAATTGTTTATCCCTGTAATCATCATATCAAAGGTACTTGAATCTTGAATATAAAGTTGACCTAGTTTTCTAAAATGAAAATACAAAAAGTTTTCACTGCATATATATATATATATATATATATATATATAAACTGATTTTGTCTAAAATATATTCTCATTTGTAGTAAGAAAATAATATTTCTGCCTTCACATTATATATGGTGTTATATTGATTCCAATTAATACAATTTACTGCAATTACAGCTGTTTTGTTTTTTTAAACTAAGAAACAAATATTATGTTTAATGCATTCATAGCGTATCTCATACATTTCGGCTCAATGTTTGCCTTTTAAAACAACTCAACTTTATGCCACGTCACCGTTATGTCTATCCATAAAGTGCTGTCTGATCCGTTCTGTATATCATAAGTGAACATGAACGTGTGTGTGTTAGCGACACAGGATCTTCAAACAAGCTGAGACAGAGCGTGCAATGTTCCACACTGCACAACTGCAGAACCGACATTATAGCGTTGTTTCGCTGCTCATGTCCCTGTGATCTCTGTGTCTGCCTCTAGGGTTAATATCTGTGTCATCGTAGTCCGACTCCATCTCAATCTTCACCTGGGGCACGGGGCAGGACATCCCTCTGGCCATTGGCATCGCCGGGGACGATGGACAGGAGATCTTCAGATGCAGAGTGATGCTGTGGAATGGCAACTTCCAGTTACAAGAGTGAGGAGGAGTAAGAGGTGAGGGCAATGACAGGAAGGAGGAAAAGCTGAGGAGCAGTCTGTATTAAGATGTTAGATGCAGGTGACTGCACAAGTGTTTCAGGGGAAAGAATGTGGATGAGGACACCCAAATCAGGAAGAAGGCTCAGTATGCTTACCCTAGGTTAAGGAGATTAATTAAAGTGTTTAAATGTGATAAATACTAGGGCAACTATTGTATACCTTAACAATAAGGTTCTGCATTAATATTAGTTAATGCATTAGGAATCATGAAATAATTTTGGGTTTTGGTTAATGTTCATTTCTAGATCAGACATTTATAATATATTTTTAACATTCCTGTTAAAAAATATATCATGTAATATATTACATTTTCAACAGGAATGTTAAAAATGGTCAGTATTTAAAAAAACATATTTTAATGCTCACCAAGGTTGATTTTATTTGATCAAAATACAGTAAAGACTAATATTGTGAAATATTATTACAACTTAAAATAACTGTTTTCTATTTCAAAATATATTTCAAATATAATTTATTCCTGTGATGGAAAAGCTGTTTTTTCAGCAGCCTTGAGCCTTCAGAAATCATATTAGCTTATTAATGTTTTGTGGAAACATATGTAGATAGATTTTTTTTCAAGATTCTTTGATAAATTGAAAGTTCAAAAGAAAAGCATTTACAATTTTTTTTTGTTTTTTTGTAACAATGTGAAAGTCTTTAGTCACTTTTGATCAATTTAATTTGTTGTTGCTCAAAAAAGTATACATTTATCTTATGTATGAAATCTTACTGACCCCATATATATTTTCTGTATACAGAAAATAGAAAATATAATATAAAGTAATAGTTTTATTATAAAATGTTGAATATTAATATATGAACATTAACAATTAACATATACATATAGTATATGTAAAAATTAAGAAATGCTATAATATCTATTATGATAATAGTTCAGTATGATGCCTAATGCAATAACTAATGTTAACAAATTGAACCTTTGTTGAAGTGAACACTTCATCCAAACCATGACCCCTGAACAGCAATGCAGACATGAAACCCAGCAGATTTTACATCATTTCTACATCAGAGTGATACAGAGAATGGGTTGTGGATGTGGATATAGTGTGAGAGGAACCAGGCTGGGGGGGAGGGGAACCCTAGAAAGCACAGAGTTATTCTAGATAAGCACTCTTATTGGAATCACAATTATACAGGGAAAGAAACAACCAAAATTCTTATACATTGTTACATTACACATGTTATAACTACTAAAAATATATTTTAGAAAGCTTGCAAAAAAGTAAATCAGATATCAACTTTTCTCACTGCCATCTTTCCCAGTATTTCAACGAAATAAACAGAAACTGTACCCACATCTAATTATGGGAGTTCAATAATTATTATTTATATGTGTGTTCTTTAGGTGTGAAAGTGTAAGCAAAAGAAAAACAATATGCATTACACAAAAAAATTACACATTTTATATAATAGCATGCAGAGTAAAATACTGGTGGTTGCATGAAAACAATTCTATCTGCATTGGTTCAAAGCGCATGGCAAGGGCAATGAGAATATAGCAAAATACTGTATACAAGGTCTTGAATGACCTTATTTATTGGTCTTAGCAGTTATACATTTAATATGCAGAGAGCTACCTCTCAACTATGTCATCTAGTTCTACTGTAAGTATTAATGCAGTCTTTAGTAGAGTGGATGTGTTTTTAAGAGGAAATGCTCTCGCATTTTAAAAAACTAACAAAGCCTGTATCAGTAGTAGTAACTGCCTGGTTGGCCTCGTGCTGCCCACTCTGAGTTGGAGTCTGGCGCCTGTAAGAGGTCACGGTAGGGAACGTGTAGTTTGAGCACACAGTACCTGCGATCCAAGTCCGAATCACTGGGGGAGCAGTTTGTATTGGGTTTATACTTGTCCTGTCGGCCAAAGAACGGATGAAGATTAGTGTATGCTTCTGTAGAATGCGTCATGTTTGTCTTTGAAGCTTTATTAGTATAAGCATGAGGCTCTTCTCCACCAGAAGGTGGCACCAGTGAAATACAATACAACAGTGGATGTCAAAAATTATTTAAATAGATAATTTTTATGTGACTTAAGTCAAGTCAAATAAAACTTCTCTCATTTCAATCCCAGCAGTCTGTGTCTTTCTTTGAATAATCGGGCTACTAAAACACTTACGTCTTCACTGTCATCCCCTCCTTTGCCTTTCTTTTTGTCCTTCTTGGTGTTCTTCTTTTCATCCTCCTTTTTCTTCTTTTCCTTCTCAGGCAGGATATCGTCCAGCCATGCCAGATCGTGTTGAGAGAAGACCATGTCCAACATCTTTCATATCACCATGAGACCAAGAATCTGAGGGAACGAGACAAACTATTTTTTTGTTTCCTTAACGCATCCCTAATGTTTATTATCCTTAGGAACCTTGAATTACATACTAAATCACAGACTGCTGGAAATTCATTTCAATTCAGTAGGATGGCCTGTTCACAGCGTGATTTAACTACAAATTACAATCGTACAAAGTTTTCAAGTACAATGTTCCCTTACGGAATAGATTATATTCAGAAGGCTTTATGGAAACTAATATAGTTATGAGCCATGATATACATTGCTGTTTATGTGTGGCAATACACAATGATCATACCATGACTGGGAAGATGATAGCGAGGAATGTGGATTTGAGGATCCAGAGAACAGCTAAGCACACAATCTGCACCAGTGTGAACAGGTGGACTCTTCTCAGCGGTACGTGACGCAGGTATGAAAAATCTGGCTGGTGTTTCGCTGGCATCATAATCAGTTTGATCCTGTCCCAGAACTATAAAAGACAAAATGTTTGATTAGATACTCAGTTGACAAAAATGAAAAATCTGTCATTATTTACTCACCCTCATGTCATTTCAAACCCAAATGACTCATTTCCATCTAATGAAAGTGAATGAGGACCAGGTCTGTTCAGCCTTCAGACCTTTTGCTGAATAAGCTGATTCGCTTTACAAAATAATTCACAGTTGATTTGAGTAAACAGATTCACTTTACAAAATGGTTCAATCTTAATTATTCAGTCTTATGATTTGAATAAGCTGATTAACTTTACAAAATGGTTTAATGGTTCGATCTGAATGATTTATTCACAAATCGGATTGATCAGGTTCTCGACTTGCTCAATGATCTAGTTGCAGTTCATTTGAAGGGATGATTATTAGTTTAGAACAACGTTCATTTAGATCATTTCCTCACACAAAACTATCAGATGGCTTTAGAAGACTTGAAATGTAACCTATAGCACAAGAGTCACGAGGACAACTTTTATGATGTTTTTATAATGCTATCGTACTTTTTGAAGCTTGAGAGTGAGAAAGTCAGAAACAACAAAGTCATTTTGTTTGACATTATTGACATTATGACATTATTGATTTTTTCTGCCCTCCTTTTTAGTCCATTGTTTTACCTCACTTATATAAGACAATCAAAAATCTACATGACAAAGCTCGACAAATATGAAAGAACAAACTGCTATTTAGAGTCAAACTCAGCTTTTAAACATTTAGCCTCAAAGCAGCATGAACAAAAATACATTTGTATTCATTCAGAATATTGTAAAGTTCTCCGCTTGAGGTCCATCATTTTGCCTTTGTCCTCCTCTTGTTCTCTAACTGACATTAAACTGGACTACTACTAGAGCAGCACAGAAAAGTAGCACCTGGCCACAGAGGGTGGATTCTCACTGCAGTCTGACAGCCTCATCAAAATGCAGCTCAAAATTGCCTCAGCAAATCCAGCCAGCATGCAAATATCCATTCCCACAACACCACG